ACCACCAATTATAACTGTATGAGGAAAGACCAAAAGATAATACAAAAATAAACATTATATGAGGCCATTGGATTTTTCAATTAAAAGTCTGTTAATGGTTTTTGCCATGTAAATTTCAGTTGAGAGGAAATGGCAAACACCAAGTTGAAGAAAGATGAAGAATAGTAAATGGAGTTGAAAAGGGTGAGTAGAAAGAAACGGAAATTGTTGAGGTACACTGATCTTTCAGAGACTGGTGGCGTAGGGAAGAAAACTGCATTAGCTTTTGTTAGAAGGGAAGCAAAACGAAGGGATTTGAAGCAAACCGCAAGGGGAAAAACAGGGTAGGAAAGGAAAGAAAAGAAGAAAAGGGAAAGAAAGAGGAAAGAGAGGAAAAAAGGGGAAGCAAGAAAAGGAAAGGGAACAGAGGTGAGGAGAGGAGAGAAGAGGGGAAAGGATATCTATATCTATCTGTATACTTCTGGTATGATGCTGTAGGATAAGCACTGGACTGCTAACTACAAGGTTGGTAGTTCAAACCCACCTGCTACTCCAGGGAAGAAAGATGAGGCTTTCTGCTCCTTTAAAGATTTACAGATTTGGAGCCCCTATATAGGGTGGCTATGAGTGAGAAATGATTTAATGGCACTGAGTTGGGTTTAAATATGTTGTTGTTTTTAAGTGCCATCAAGATGGTTTTGACTGGTAGTGACCCTGTATAGGATTTCTGAGGAGCAGCTGGTGGGTTTGAACGGCTGACCTTGTTTCAAACAGACCAGTGCTTTATCCTACAGTGCCACATCGGGACTCCATATATAACTATACAAATACTATACTTTTAAATATATATATATGTACGTATATAAATTATCGGTAATTCTATTTAAACAAAAGATGGTTAGAGTTTTAGTATACATGTTTCTGGATTAGTTATATTCATATACTCAAACATACATAAACAAATCACTTATTTCTTTTTACAGTGGCGTTAACATTTAGAATCTCCTTTTTGTCACTCAACAATATGTCATGAATATGTTCATTGCTCTAACATACCTTACACTTTCATATTGCATAGAATTCTGTTGCATGGTTGAATATAATTTATTTAACTTAGTCCTTGTTGATGGACAATGGGTTGCTTTGAATTTTTAGTTATTATAAACATTGTTAGGAATAGCCTTGTAAATAGAAAGGGGTTTCAAAGATTTGTGGTAAAATTTCATTATATTTTCATTCCATTTTCCACAAGCTTTTGAAAACCCTTTGTACATTCCTGTATGAATGTTCATTTGCTTCACAAATATGAACTCAGGTGGAATTTGCAGGTCAAAGAATATGCACTTAAAAAAATAAGTAATTTTTGTTATTGTTTTTGACAATATATGTACACGGAATAATCCAGCAGTTTGGACATGTACAGTTTAGTGACATTGATTATATTCTTCAAGTTGTGCAATCATTGTCGCCATCCATTTCTGGGTAGTTCCTCATCCAAAACATAAACTCACCGTCCCCTAAATTACTTCTCTTTCTTTCAAGTTGCTGTCAGTTTGATACCATATAGCTGGTATAGTGCTACTAACCACAAGGCTGGCTACTCAAACCCATGAGCTACTCCTCGGAAACCCTATACAGGGTCATTATAAATCAGAACTGACTTGAAGGCAGTTAACAACAACAACAGATATTTCATAGTTTACTAGCTAAGCTCATACCTTGCCAATTATGGTTATAAGCTTTCTTTGTAATTTTTAGACTATTTCTAATAATTAAGTTCATTACTAAAATGCGCACTTAAAAATCTCTCTTTTCTCATCACACGGTGCCTCATCAATATGGAGTGTATCATAGGAAGAATCTAGAGACACTTTTGAAGGATGTTCCAAAGGATAGGCAGCAAAACTTGTGTGATTTTAGTAGTCTAAAGCTCATCAGTGAGAGTTTTATGTTTCATATCCTGATGACTTATTCCATCAAGAAAACAGTCATTAAACCCATAGAGACACTTGGCAAAGCTTAAAAATACATTTTCAGAAACTAGGGTGTCCTAGACTCTTTGCATGAATCAAACATTATATCAATTTTTTTCCCTCCTTACACTATTTTAAATGAAAAAAAATATAAAGATATTAGCTCTAACCCCTTTGAAGATAATCATGGGAATTACACAAAAAGTTTCATTATTTGAACTCTGATTTGAGGTTTGGACAAATATTTAAATACTGATTTAATTTCAGACAAACTATAGAATACTAGCAATATATTATGCCTAATTTGCACTAAGGACTATTAGTACTATGCCTTCTAGTATTTTATAGAAATGTATTTAAAACTTGCAATCATATTCATCAAAAAATAGAATCTTTCAGCCTCTGTGTAAAGTGGCCTGGTGTCTAGGAATTCTGAAATTTAGTTATATTGATTTAATAAATACCTGTAGCAAGAACTAAGCAGAATATTGGATTACCCATAATATCCCATTCCTTAGCACTAAGTAAAAATATTTGAAAATTTATGAAATGAACACTCAAAGCAGTTTGGAAAATTTCTAAATATGATCATTACATTTTCATGTTCTTACTAACCTGTAACATGGTTAGAAACTAAACCATGCCCAAATTTACGTCATATATTTTTTGTTGTCCCCTGTTGAAATTTTTTTTTTTTTTTTTGGGGGGTTGGACTCAAACTTTCTATGGTTGCTTTCAGCTCACAGATAACTGAAGTTTATGTGTTTTCATTTATTTTTTTCTCAAAAGACAGAAAAACATTAGTGACTATTAGTTATTTAAATGGAGTCTTGGTGTGTTGCTATGGGTTAATGCACTGGACTACAAGGTCAGTTTGAACCATAAGGTTGGTTGTTCAAGTTCACTAACCACTCGTTGGAAATCTTATTGAAGGTCACTATGGTTCAGAACTAACTCAACAGAACTTAATAACAACAACAACGAGAGCCCAAACAGCTTGAATACATTCTTCCTGAATTTAAAGATCATCTCAAGAGCAGATTTGATACATTAGACACTAATGACTGAAAACCAGAAGAGTTGTGAGATGACATCAAGAATATTATACAGGGGAACTCAGCGTTTCCCGTATCCAGAATCCCCCATCCGCGAAGTGAAGATGCCCCGTGGAAGTCGGAGCCGCACTTCCCGGGTGGCCCCTCCGGCCAGCCGGGCACCTCAGATGAGAGTTGCCCCCAGGCCAGCCCCAGCTGCTCACCCACCAGCAGCGGCCCCACCGTCAGCAGTAGGCTCACCCGCTGCTGCC